TGTTTGCCTAAATCATTAATGAGTAATTCATCTTTAGACACGATTTGAGAAATAACCTTTTAACAATAAATTAAATTTAGGGTTATGCAAAAAAAATAAAATATTTCTATAAAAAGACAAAAAAACGATAAATAAACATTAAAAAAGTAATGTTAGCCTCTGCATAAGGGTTTCCACGACGAGAGCTAATACATCATCTTTTCATTCAATAAAATAAATGTATAAAAATTTAAATTTTATTATTTTAATTTATTGTAATTTTGTAAAAAACAAAATTGTGGATAAATTAAAATAAAGTCTAACTACTAATCATTTTGGACATAACAGATCAAAATTTTGTTTTGATATATTATTTTAGTTATTTAGAAAATAAAAACGTTTTGATATATTTTAAAATATTAATTTTATTATTAATTTGTTTTAATTTCTTTAAAATTAAAAGTACGTCCAATGTTTATTATTAATTCGTTCTCATCTCTTTAAAAACAAAAATGCATGTATGATAAGTTAAATGTTATTATATTTCTTTCCGTGAGTACGGCAGAAGAAAAGTGGTACCAGAAATCAGTTGCCCCCCTCTTTCCAACAGGAATCTATTGGTCCCCACATGTTCTAAATCATCCCTGACCGTCGGATCACATAAGGATTCGAAAGTTACTAATACAGTAGGGAAAATCACACAAATCATCCCTAAAATTTATATTTATTACATCACACTCACACATCTTGAGAATGAAAAAAATATAGCCAATCTTCATTTACAAACGGTTAACAAACGAAATTGATAAATAATGAAATGCTGATAAAAGGAGCTCTATGGCTTCACAACGTACACTTTAGAATGTTCTAAAAAATATTACCCAGTGCAAGGGAAGTGTAGCGTTTCCTGGAAAAAAAGTATCCTTACATCAACAAAAAGTAGTAGCTAGTGGATTGATGGTCAAATAATTTGATGGGGTTAATTGAAAGATAAGAATATTAAGGAGCATTCTGTAATTCTCAAAATCATACGACGCCAAGTATAATAAGTTCAAAAATTTGGGGGAATTTGCCCACACAAATAAATGATATTAGGACTGGTGTCCGCTATTCCTCTTTTAAGTCATAACTTTCCCTTTTTACGCATTTTGTCTCTTCCTCCGTGCCGCAACAGCTACTACAGCCTCCTCTTTCTCTCCCCAAAGGGCTCAGTGATCGATGAGGCTGATGAATGCCCTAACCCTAGCTGCTGGAATGACGACCACGAGATTTTTCATACTGGACGCGGAAGATATTGAATTCGGAACGACCTGGTGGTTCGTCTATGCCGGAGTTTCGTGCTTTCTTGTTCTCTTCGCCGGTATAATGTCTGGTCTCACCTTGGGTTTGATGTCTCTCGGACTCGTTGAACTCGAGATTCTTCAGAGAAGCGGTACCTCTACTGAGAAGAAACAAGCAGGTTTTCTCTATTGATAATCTGGAGTGATTCATCTCATAAATTACTCATATCACTTGCTTCGATTGCGATTGTGTTTAGCCTAGGCTCGTTGTCGTTATCTCCATTAAGGTGAATTTGATCCCTGTCATGTACTAGTATATGCTAACGATGCCTCTGCCATTAATTTACACCTCGATCGGGCACTCCGTGGACCATTACGGCAAAATTATTGATCTCATGTTGTTGAATGAATGTTATGAGTTATTTTTACACAAATTGTTCCTAAATTGGGACTTCTGACAATTGTTTATTTAGTTATTGAAGATATTGTTCCTTAGCTGCTCAGCATCAGTCTTTAATTACATCATGTTTTGTTTTCTATTTGTTTTTTTATTGTCTTTTCCTACTAGAGAGATGTGGCTTATTTATATGGCACTCTATGGTACTCCTCACCTCAAGGGGAAAGGATATCATGCTCTAATTTCCATTTCATATTCCGGATTATGCTAGAAAAGTAGAAATATATCTCAAATATTTTGGCTTTAGCTATCTCTGAAAATTTTAGCCCAACGGAATCTTTCATTCTACATATACACAAGCATTAGGTGCTGCGTCTGCAGCACATTTTGATTGCCGTGCTGTTTATCTTCAGCTACTATCCTACCAGTTGTCAAAAAGCAACATCAACTTCTTGTGACACTGCTTCTTTGCAACGCTGCCGCCATGGAGGTGAGGACTCACCTGAATTTCCTGCTATGCATTGGTACTAAGCCACTGCATATAATCTGTTATTTGTCAACACTTTTGTCAGCTTTTTTGCTTGAAAAGTATATCACAGTTAGCTTTTTGTTGCTGAGAGAGCAAGACATAAACAAGGAAAAAATAGAGAGAGAAAATTACATGCATGTAATGCTTTACTTTGGTTGTGAAATTGTAAGTGCTGTTTCCGTTAGGAAAATCCCATCATTGCGTCTAGTTACTAACACAAATAATTTTGACCAATGTGGTAATACAAAAGATGGTAGGCAGGTTGGTTATCCATGCTATCATTGGATGATTCCTACAAGTTCAGTACTGCAATATGTATGACAGTCGGTGTGATGAGTCTTCAGGTTTTTGTTTCCGTCAATGGATGTCTTATTGTTTAATTCTGTCAATAGATGTTTCTGAGTTGGCGAACATTGATTATTAGTGTTAACTTTCTAAATGATAACGTTATAAAGTCCCAGTATGGTTGACCAAATTAGCATTTTGTTTATCCGTGCTCTGCTTCCTGCAGGCTCTTCCTATATACCTGGATAAAATTTTTCATCCTTTTGTTGCTGTTGTGCTATCTGTTACTTTTGTACTAGCTTTCGGAGAGGTACATTCTATTCATAATGTGTGACTACCTTTTACTATATTATGTTCAATTTGCTATTCTATTCGGGGGCTAACTTGGTTTGTACCTTACTGGTTTTTTGCTGCACTGGGACTAACTTGTCACTTACCAAACTGGATCAGGTAATTCCACAAGCAATATGTAGCAGATACGGACTTGCTGTGGGTGCAAATTTTGTGTGGCTTGTGCGTATTTTGATGATCATATGCTATCCTATTGCTTACCCTATTGGAAAGGTAATTCTCATGTAAGTAGCGTTGTTGCCATTACTTTGTGTACATCTGACAGACGTATTTAAGGATGGTTGCTTATATCTGTGAAAGTTTACTTCAATGTGGTCACTATTCTTGAATAGTTAGCTTGTTGTGGATTCAGATTCTAGACACTGTATTGGGGCATAATGATGCCTTGTTTAGGCGAGCTCAGTTGAAAGCCCTTGTCTCTATCCACGGCCAAGAGGTAAACTTCCTGCATCTGTAGTTTGTACGGCTACTCACTGCCACAATTTCAATAATCTTAAGATATGATAACAAGTTAAACTTACAAGAATTGTATGTAATGTGTAAAGGAATTTGAGGGCAATTGAACATGCATCTACATTCCCTTGGCCCTTTTGGTTTCCTATAATGTATATGTTTTTTTTCATCTTAGGCTGGTAAAGGCGGCGAACTCACACATGATGAGACTACAATCATAAGTGGAGCATTGGATTTAACTGAAAAGGTTTGTATTGCAGTTAAACAATCATTCCAGTTTTTTTTTTCTCTCTCTCTTTCCTTTGCATCCATTTCTATAATGCTTTCTTTCAGTATTTTGGCCATCAAATTCTGAATGGTTGAAGCTTACACAGGGAGATAGGAATGGCCTCGTATATTAACACCTGCTTCTGACAAGGAAGAAAACTTCTTCAAAGAGGCTTTGAAATTGAAAGTGAACATTACACTTATTTCTGAGAAAAGTAATTCCGAATCTTCAACAATTTCTTCATGAGAGTGGTTTGAATTAAAGCTTTCATGGGTACTGAGTATACTTGAAAAAAATGCACATTCATTTGCATTGTCCTGAAATTTAATAACACAGTTCATCCAATTTCATTTCTTCTGAAAATTTACTCTTGTTTCAACTTTAGTCCCATTATTTTATCTTCAAAAGAATTGAAATCTTAGTTCTCTCAGGCGTGTGTTCATGCCATTCTTAATAATAGGATCCCCTGGCACATGGAACTTTATGCACGTGTGCCTGTACCAATATTTTTTGTTTCGTACTATGATCATAAGACTGAAGTGCCTTGCGTAATTGGCAGACTGCAGAGGAGGCTATGACACCTATTGAATCAACATTTTCCCTGGATGTCAATTCGAAGTTGGACTGGTGAGTTTGACTCTATAATGGTTTTCATATTCCCGGAATTGCGTTTGGTTTCCTTTTCCTATTTGTTATGTCGCGAAGATAGTGGTGGAGGAAGCTATAGTCTTTCATCTCTTCCCCATATGAGTGCCAAGTATTACTATCAAGTAGTGTTATGGGAGATATCCTTTTCGGGTTCGATTTTTCTTTGCATGGTTTAGCTGAGCAAAATTTTTCCTGCCTACGTCTTTGTCCAAGCCCAGAATGATGTTATGTACACACATTAAGTAATGCATGTGAGTGCTTCCATTTGTCTTATTAAGTTGTGTATATGTGTGCTTCCATTTTTCTGTGCATGACTTTTCTTGTTAATGGCTCTCATGGAGGAAACATTCTTGCAAATGCATAGCAGCAAATAGGCACAAGCATGTGCATTTGATGCAAATGGGCTTATGCACTGATAAACTAAGTGAATGAATCAACAGAAGCATTATGCACTGGCAACCTACACTGATAAACTAATTGAATGAATCAACAGAAGCATTATTAGACAAAACTACAGAAAGAGTGAATTCCATGAGTAAATTAACAACTCCAAAGTTTCTCATGTTATTTACCATGTTTTTAGTGATAGTGTTCTTTCTCTTTCATGTAATGCTTTACACTAGAGAATCAAATCATGGAGTTCATTTCCTAATTGATGCATTTTGTGGCTAAGTATGTTGCAAAGTGTGTGGTGTGTTAGCAGATGAAGGTGGAGCATCAAAAACCCAAAGGATTACTACAGTCCTTACCTATTCCCGAGTGGAAGTGGGATCATATCACAATGGATTTTGTGTCTGGTTTACCACAGACTTCACGAGGGCATAATGTTGTATGGGACATTGTAGATAGACTTACCAAGTCCGCTCATTTCTTAAGTATGAAGACCACTGACACTTTAAAGACCTTGAGCAAACTTTATATTCATGAGATTGTTAGATTACATGGAGTTCCACTCTCTATTGTGTCAAATCGTGATTCTCGTTTTTGTGGCGTAATTTTGGCAATCTCTACAACGAGCTATGGGGACAGAGTTGTACTTTAGGACTGACTTTCATCCTCAAATTGATGGCCAATCCGAGAGGGTGATACAAATTTTGTAGGACATGTTTACGAGCTTCTGTGTTGGACTTTAAAGGAAGTTGGAGTGAGCATTTGTCATTGGTGGAATTTGCATATAACAATAGTTTTCAATCTAGCATTGACATGACACCTTACGAGGCATTGTATGGGAGACCATGTAGGTCCCCAACTTGTTGGCTAAAAGCTAGAGAGAGTAGCTTATTTGGCAACATCATGGGGTGGAGGAAGCTACTTGGGAACCAAAGCTAGAGATGCGAGAGAAGTGCCCTCATTTGCTCTCTACTTAAGTAAGTTTCAAGGACAAAACTTTCTTTAAAGGGGGGTGGATTGTAAACCCCCACATTCTTATTTTTATATAGCAACGTAATTATTTTTGAAATACTAATATATGTGATGATGTATTCATGAACTATGTGGATTGTAAGAGTAGAAATAAAAATGTTAGGCGAGGGTAATGGGGTATGAATTGGAAGTGTTGAAGTATTCCAGAATTCAAACACATTTTAGATAAAATTTGG